GATCTCTTACTCTTCTATGAAACAGAAGAAAATAGTAGTAGAAGCAAAGATTACAATATTGGAGGTGACGAGGATGAGATGGAGTTAAGAATATTTGATTTAGCCACCCTAGCAAAAGCAACAGCTAATTATTCAAGAGAAAATAGGCTGGGAGATGGTGGTTTTGGTTCAGTTTATAAGGTCAGTTGACAAAATGCTCAATCTCCACAAGCAAGCATTTTAACCAAGAAAAAAAAAAGGGTGTCAGCATTTGTTCATTGTTAATTATGTTATTCTCCAGGGTATATTGGCAGAGGGGCAAGATGTTGCAGTTAAGAGGCTCTCAAAAAATTCTGGGCAAGGAATGGAAGAGTTCAAAAATGGAGTTATACCGATTGCCAAACTTCAACACTGGAATCTTGTCAAGCTTCTTGGTTGCTTCACTGAAGGAAATGAAAAGATGTTGATTTATGAATACATGCCCAACAAAAGTTTGGACTACATCTTTGGTTTGATCCTCAAAACCATACTTTTTTCAATAATTGGTGTCTAAGTGATAATGAACTAAAACATAGGTGAGACAATGTTGATCAGATGAAACAAGAAGCAAGTTAATAGACTGGCTGAAGTGGATGTAAATCATCAGTGGGATAGCCCAAGGTCTTCTTTATGTTCATCAAGACTCTAGACTGAGGATTGTCCATAGAGACCTTAAAGCCAGCTATGTTCTATTAGACAATGATATGAAACCCAAAATTTCAGATTTTGGCGTTGCAGGAATGTTCCAAGGAGATCAAACTGAATCAAGAACAAGGAGGGTTGTTGGAACTTAGTAAGTTTGCCTAAATGTTAAACTGCTAGATTTTCCTCATTCCTTGTGTGTTTACATTGACTACTTTTGCAGTGGTTATATGTCTCTTGAGTATGTAGTAGATGGACATTTCTCAATTAAATCTGATGTCTTTAGCTTCGGGGTAATAGTACTTGAGATCACAAGTTGCAAGAAAAACTGAGGATTTTGTCATTCAGACCACAGCCTTAATCTTCTAGAACATGCAAGATGAAACAAATTATACCTTTTAGGCATACATTTATTATGTTGAACAAAACATGTCCTAATCTGATTCTCAATGCCTCAGGCATGGAAACTGTGGAGGAGGATAGATCATTGGAATTGATCGACAGTGTCCTATGCAATTCTTAATCTGTTTCTGAAGTTCTACGATGCATTCATGTAAGCCTCCTATATGTCTAGAAACGACCAGAAGACAGGCCAATTATGTCATCCGTAGTACTAATGTTGGGAAGCGAGAATTCATTGCTAAAGCCAAAGATCCCTGGTTTTTCACCGAAAGGATTCTGCCTGAAAGATAGTCCTTCTCAAGGCGGTCCGAAAATAAATTGACCATTACATTGTTAGGACCAAGGTTAAAGCATTGTGACTTGGAATAAATGGAATCTAAATGGATTTTCCTTGGAAATGAAGAAATTGACTAGTATCCCAACCATTTCTTAGAAACACTGAGATATGAAAAATGTGTTGCATAATGTATTTGAGTTCCAATCAGACCACCTCTGTTGGCTTCATTCAAATCAATATTACCTTTTCCTCTTTCAATTGACATGATTTTTTCCATGTGTTTACATGGGTAATTTCAAATTTCAAGCATGCAGTCTGTAACACAGTAGGATCCAAAGCCATGTTTTTTTTTTTTTTTTTTAACTTTTGAATATCGGTAATTTTCTATCACTCGAAGACTGAAAAAGGACTCGGCTGGAGGGATACTAACTACCCAAAAAATGAGACATCAAAGATATAAAATTTTAATTTGGCTGAAGAAAAGAAATTCCAAACTCAGGATCAAGTGTCAAACAAAGACAACGTGTCTCATAGAGATTTTGAAGCACTTAAGTATTCAACAAATATAAGATACAGGTTCTTTGAGCTAGAATGAAGAGTACATGGTAATGTAGATACCATGTTGTAAATTCAAAAAATTGCGATTGTATGAAAATTATACAAATATGATGCTTCTGTTATAGTGAAAGGCATCTTCTTCATCCAAAGGTCTACAGGAACTTGTATTCTGTCCTTGAATGAGGAGATCAATGGAAGGCATCTATGCAGGATTTGTAGGGTTTTCACTTTTTTTCTTCACAACTACCAGCACCTCAACCTCCATACCTGATACTATCACTCCAGGACAGTCCATTAAAGACGGGGAAACTCTGGTGTCTGCTGGTGGAAGCTTTTGTTGAAGAATTTTCAAAATATTTCCAGGATTTGGGTTCGAATTACAAAAAGTTGGTTTGAAGCAATTGCACAAACTGCATTTGAGAAACTGTAATGTTGGTTTGAACAATATAATTATGGTTCGAACCATTTACGTAAAACCAGAATCCGGAAAGTTACGATTTTAGTTCGAAGCACATTTATCTGGTTCGAACCATTTACGTCAGAAATCAGAGATAGAATTCTGATAAGTTTCTAAAGAGAGTGGATAACTTTAGAAGGCAAGAAAACACGTGAGTTGGAATTCAAATCAAACTAAATGACTTTTGGAAGAGTTTCCAATGGATAAAAATTGAAAAGAAGTGTTTGTTCCCAACAGACATCTTGATAAGAAGTGTCTATTCTAAGAGGCATCTTGCCCTATAAATATGGAGCTATCTCTTCTTCTTTGGGAGAGTTTTTTTGAACCCAGAAATATCTAAATAAAATAGCCTCTTTTTGTATTGCGATTGCTCGAGAAATCCCTATACAAAAACTATTGTTTTATCGCTTTCCAAATGATGGTTCAGTGGTTGATCTTGCTAGTGCAAAGGCGAGATCAACAAGGCGCTTCATTGTATCCTATGAGCATTTCAGGTTACCCCCTTTGCATACTAGATTTGGTGGGGGCGAAATTAGCCTAAAGGAAAGTGACATTTGCAGCACGCCTTGAAGCCAATGATCTAATGATCTCATTTCTAACCCCCTATTTCTCCAACAATCTTTAGGCTAATATATATTCCAGTTTTTTGAGATCATGGCTTACTGGATAATTGAGAAGAAACTTGCGCTACAAAACGCATGTGAAGCCAGGGAGATTTGGTGTGCAATAGTGACAAAAGGAAAAGGGATTTCTGGTGTGATTAACCCATCTACAAAAGTGGTGGTTTATTAAATTGATTATAGAAATCGTGTGACAAAGCAATAGTGTAATCAAATTGTCAATAAGCAACGGTAGATGAATCAACCACAAGATGCAAATAAAGTTTTTAAATTGTAAGGCGATGATGATGCATGATATCAACGCAAAAGGAAAACAAAGTGCAGACAGATTGAAACTCAATACAAGAGGAATAGGTATGCAGAATAAGTTTATGCTCTTGATTGGCATGAATTTTTCATATGATTTTGTTTTGAAAACAAATTTTGGGTGGGTTTATAAAGGAAAAAAAACAATGCTCATGATCTAAATACATGAGTTAGTTTTAGAAATTAATTCTTCAAGTTTGAGTGATGGTTTCATATCATTATCTATCAAATCTCTTTGAATGAAACATTACATTCAGTGATATTGTTTCAAAGGCTATTCATCCATGCTTATCTCTTGTATCTATTTAGTTAAATATGAGGAGAAAACATCTCCTGGAGAATGGCTTCAAAGAAGTTATCAAATATGCAAATGACAGTGCAAAGATTTATAATTAAAAGTCATTTGGCACAATGAGGCAAGAGAAATAAAATGGGTCTTTAAATCCTATTTGGAGATTAAATAAATCTCAGACTTGATAGCATGGTTCTTGGCAATGAGAAGGAAGATATTTATGGATTTGAATATGATCATGATTGTGCCTTGATTTTGAGATTAATAATGTGATAAAAATAAAGTTCTGTTTTTCTTTTCATTTAGTAATGATTATTTACTGTTCTTTGGTGAATACTTATGAAGCTTTATGGAGTTTAAGTAGTATATCTTACTTCTAGACCTGATCTTATTAAGATTTGCTTAAGACTTATTAAAGTCAATGAGATTTCCTTTACTTGGATTAAGTTATAAGCATGTTTATGTATATTATAGTTTTAGTTAAAATCATTGAGTTTTGTACATGTGTTAAACATGATTACTGTTTTTAATATGAGGCTTGTGGAAATATAAGAGGCTAATGAATTTGGTCATGTTTCATTAATGAAAGGTTGCTTAAAGCATATTTCTACTTGTTACTTTTGATGCCTTTTATTTATGCTTGTAAGATTATATACCAGCATATGAATATTGAAACAAGTGAGAATCAAGTCTCATGATGGTTCTTTAGCCATGTTGAAGAAAGAAATACTAAAATGAGATTTGGCAAACCTATTTAGAGATCAAATTGGTGATCTTAGTTTGAATATAAATAAAGAGAAGAGAGACCAGGTCTTCTAAACTCCTAGACAAAATTTCAACTCAATCCAATGGTGAAATTTTGCAAATCGGATAAAATTACAAAACTGTGTACTGTACCAAAATCTGTAGAATTCTCCCCTACTTTCTTTCCCTTTCTACCGGCTGGTCCACTCACGTGTTCTCCACTTTCTGTTGTCCAAATCAGACTCCTTTCTTTGTCTTAAAAGGCTGCAAAATGTGGCTTCAAGTGGGCTTAACAAGTGTGGGCTTAGTCCACAAATATTGGTCATTTCTCCACATAGGAGGGATAGGCCTAACCCAACAATTTAGTTGTTATATGTCAAGTGAGTATGCTCTAGATGAGCAGTGGAGCTGACTGACAATTCATTAGTTGACAAACACTCTCAGTCTAAACTATTGCGATGCATTCATGTCACTTTGTTATGTGTGCAACAAAGACTGGAAGATAGACCAATCATGTCGTCTGTGCTGCTTATGTTTGGGCAGTGAAAGTTCCTTGCCTCAACCAAAGCGGCCTGGCTTTTCCATTGAAATAAATTTGCCTCCAAAAGAGTCTTCGAGCAACCATGGGTCAGTAGGAATAAATGAAGTCACCATTACGTTGTTAGAGGCACGATAGAGTGGCAAGAATTGCAGAAACACTCCTCTTCATCTTAACATAGAGCTGTTTAAATAGGACCATACTAGCTATACTCTTGGAGAGAACTTCCTTGAGAGATGGAAAAATTACTGTTAATGTCAAGTCAATACATGATTGGCACCGCGAAAATGATATTCCATTCCATGGGAAACTAGTTGTGTTTATCACAACTAAGTATCCCGGTTGAATTTGTACTCCGACCTGATTAAGACCACCATAGTTTTTGAATGTTCCCTTTGATTTTTTGTTGCTCTTACACTAAATTGCATTAGACCATGACCTCATTTATGGTAACCAGAAACCCAAATTCAGAAGTTATAAAAATGTATAGAAATGGATAAAGGGTTTGATTGATTTTACATATTCAAATCAAAATCCAAGACACCACCATTTGAATGATCACGAACTACCATTAGACTAATCAATTTTTGGTAGTTTTCAAGAATTGGTCCCACCCGTGGAAAATACTGAGCTGAACAAGAAACAAATGCAACTGTTGGGATTTTTGTATTTAGGTGGAAAGGGTGGAGAGAGGACATGGAGGAGAAGGAAAGAGACATTCGGAGTCACCTCATTTGGTGAGGTCAGAACTCATTTTCTTTATCCATCTTCTGCCATTATATAGCAGAAATCTCATGATACATAAACAGTAATTTCTACCTAATACAATAACTTCTACGTAACACATATTGACTAAGATGTAGAAGTTTGCTGCCATTTTGTGCAGCTCCAAGTTGCTGTATTTTGCTGCCACCATGTTGTTGGTGCAGCTCTCTCTACTTTTCATTTGCTGCCACTGTTGCAGCTTTGACACCACAACTCCAACAGCAACTCCTGTGTATTTCTGTACAGCATCTTTAGGTCCATATATAATCCTAAAATCTTCATTCATAATCTATGCTTCTTTGAAGAGGAAATAATGAAAGGCTTCCTTAGGGGTCTTATATGCTTAATCTTGTTCTCCAGTATAAGTGGAGCTGCTGCAGTAGACACTATTGTTCCAGGCAAATCAATAAAAATTGGTGAAACTCTAGTTTCATCCAAGGGAAGCTTTGAGCTTGGATTCTTCAGAAGTTCCAGGGGTCTGTACTTGGGGATATGGTACAAGAAACCAGCAACTCATACAGCTGTGTGGGTAGCTAATAGAGAAAATCCACTTTCTGATGGTGAAGGGGTTCTGGTACTGGACTCAAAGGGAACTCTTGCTCTTCTTAATAGCACAAAGGATGTCATTTGGGCATCCAATACATCAAGAAGTGCAGAAAACCCAGTTGCTCAACTCTTGGAATCGGGCAATCTTGTAGTGCAAGATGAAAAAAATTACAACGAAGAGGACTATCTGTGGCAGAGTTTTGATTATCCTTCCGATTCATTATTGCCAGGAATGAAGCTTGGAAAGAACTTAAAAACCGGGTTTGACAGGTTTTTATCATCCTGGAGAAGCGCAGATGACCCAGCTCCAGGTATATACTCTGTACGTATAGACACTCGAGGGTTTCCACAAGTAGTAATTGAGAAGGGATCTAAAATTCGGGGCAGGGCAGGGCCATGGAATGGTATTGGTTTTGCAGGGCGTCCTGCTAAGCCAAATTCAATAACTTCAGCTCAATATGTGTTGAATGATGAAGAGGTTTATTATAGGTATGAGCCTGAAGATAGCTCAGTTAAAATAAGGATGGTGGTGAATTCATCTGGGGTTTTCCAGATCTTTGTTTGGAAAAATGGAATTCATGATTGGGAGCTTCTGATGATGCCTCCACCTGATATCTGCCACAACTATGCCTTATGTGGAAAATTTGCTAGCTGCAATGTCAATAGATCTCCTGTATGTTCATGTCTTGAAGGATATCTGCCCAAATCTCTAGTAGATTGGAATTTAGGAAATTGGTCTGGTGGGTGCATTAGAGATACACCCTCGGAATGTGAAAAAGATGCGTTTCTCAAGCAAACGTGGTTGAAATGGCCGGATACATCAAATTCCACTGTAAACATGACAATGAACCTCAGGGAATGTGAGCAAACATGTTTGACAAACTGCTACTGCACAGCATATACAAATGCTGATGTCAGAGATGGAGGAAGTGGCTGCTTGCTGTGGTTCGGTGACTTGATTGATATACAAGTTCTCACACCAGGAGGACAAGACCTCTATATAAGGCTGGCCCCTTCTGACATGGGTACATTCTCCTCAACTTACCCCTTCCTATTTGAAGATTATACTTTTTTGAACTCTTCATGACTATGGACTTGTTCCTAGACTCAAACAGATGTCCATTTACTTAACTTTCAACCTTTCAGCTCATCTTGACAAGAGAAAGAGATCGAGGGAGATGAAGAAAGCAGCATTCATGGTAAGCTCTGTCATCCTCGGCACATTAATCCTAATAGTGGGTTTATTCTCTATATAAGGAAAGAAAAATGCAGAAAAGAAGGTAACAATACTCCAATTTCTTATGCTTGTTAGTGTTTTTGTAACAGAAATCTGAATCAAAAGCTTTCTAGTAGCAAAAGGTTGCATCACGATGAGATTTTGATCGTTTGTAATTTGATTTGAACAATGGACATTTCAATACCTTTATCCTCGATGAAACATACTTTATTTCAGGACTGAAAAAGAGGCATTTAAGAAATGATTACATGAATGATGGAGAAAAAGAAGACATGGAGTTGCGGATGTTTGATTTGGAAATTATAGCTAGTGCGACAGATAACTTTTCAATCAATAACAAGTTGGGACAGGGTGGCTTTGGTCCTGTGTACAAAGTAACACAAAAACTTATTAATAGCTTCTTCTAAAATGACATTTCTTACTAAGAACTTCTAATTTCTGAATTGTTATTGTAAAGGGTACATTGTTAGACGAGGAGCAAGACATAGCAGTGAAGAGGCTATCAAGGAGTTCAGGACAAGGGCTTCAGGAGTTCAAGAATGAAGTTATCTTGATTGCAAAGCTTCAGCATCGAAATCTCGTAAAGCTTCTTGGTTGTTGCATTGAAGGAGATGAAAAAATGTTAATCTACGAGTACATGCCAAATAAAAGTCTAGACTACTTTATTTTTGGTTAGATTTCTCTTATCCCTCTCCTTTAATCATCCTTTTTTTGAACTCTCTAAGTATTTGATTATTTATTGCACTAACAATGAGGAGAAATGGGTCATATAAAGAAAGAAGCAAGCTATTAGACTGGAATAGGCGTGTGAACATTATTGGTGGAATTGCCCGAGGACTTCTTTATCTTCATCAAGATTCTAGATTGAGGATCATTCATAGAGATCTGAAAGCTGCCAATGTTTTGCTAGATAGTGAAATGAATCCTAAAATCTCAGATTTTGGCATGGCCAGATCATTTTGTGGAGAACAAACTGAGGCCAATACTAACAAAGTCGTTGGAACATAGTATGCACACCTGAACTTGCTCCTTTTCATATTCCGCTATTCCTTTTGTTTCCACTGATCTTCATTCTACTTTTTCAGTGGTTATCTGTCTCCTGAGTATGTTGTGGATGGACTTTTCTCAATTAAATCTGATGTTTTTAGTTTCAGGGTTTTGGTACTTGAGATAATAACTGGGGAAAGGAATAGAGGATTTCGACACCCAGATCATGATCATAATCTTCTTGGACATGTAAGTATAAAGAATGACATTGTAAGTTTTTGCAGTAAAGTAAAAGAACAGAAAATGCAGAACCAGAAACTTTCAGAACTAGAGCTTCTCTGATATGGAGCTCTCTTTTCATTTCAGATGATAATTACAAGACATAAGAGTTGCTAAAAATATAAGCAACTCGTACATATCAGTTTTACAAAAGAAAACTACCAGAAACCATAAACTTTAACTGCAGAAAACTAAAAACACAGTTACAAATTAAAAAACATAACTGATATTTGCTAACTTCAACACTCCTCCTTGCTTTTTATATTTGTAACTCCAAGCATATCTCTGAACTCTTCAAATTTCTGCCTTGGAAGTGCTTTAGTCAAGATATCTGCAACTTGAACTTCAGAATCACAATGTTGCAAAAAAATCTCTTTATCCCGAACATAATTTCTGATAACATGATATTTAATCTTGATGTGTTTGGTCCTACCATGCTGCACTGGATTTTGAGCAATAGCAATTGCTGACATGTTATCTACCTTGAGTACACAAGGCCCAATTTGATCAAAACCAAGTTCTTCAAGCACCATTCTAAGCCAAATAGCATGATTCGCTGCTGCCCCAGCTGCTAAATACTCAGCCTCAGCTGTGGACTGAGCTACAACATCCTGCTTCTTTGAATTCCAAGAGAAACTCCCTGAACCAAAGAAGAACACATAACCTGTTGTGCTTATCATATCCTCCATAGAACCTGCCCAATCACTATCAGCATACCCCTGTAACTTTCCTTGTTGATTACTGTCAAACCACAAGCCAAGTTCATAGGTTCCTTTGATGTACCTAAGAACTCTCTTGGCTGCAACTAAATGAAGTTTACTAGGAGCTGACATAAACCTTGACAAATAGCTTGCTGCAAACATCAAATCAGGTCTTGTAGCAGTTAAATAAAGCAGGCTACCAATTAAACTTTGGTAGTAGGAGGAATCAACCTTGGTTTCTCGATCATCCTTGGAAAGCTTTTCGTATTGAACCAGTGGAGTGGCAACTGGTTTACAACTCTCCATTTCAAACTTCTTCAAGATATCCAGTGCATACTTTCTTTGGCAAATGAAAATTCCCTTGCTCA